ATTCCCACCTCTGATAAGTGGTTCAAGCACAACAGGGTCCTCCAACTTGAAGGCCAGTGTTCTCCCTACCACAGCACACAGAACCATACCATTGCAGGATACATCGGGACCCTCAGCTCCACAGGGATGGTAGTTTGGGCCATAGTCACAGTTTCCACAAGGCGGAAGTGTTAACAAAAATGGAGGGCAGAGTCATGCATCCTTCCTCCAGAGCCGAAGTACCAGGTACATGTCTCATCCCTCTGTGGCCTGTATTGACAACAGCTTGATAATTAGCGGAGAGCCCTGTGCTGAGGAGGCTCAAATCCTTGTTTCTGTGTCTGGGAGGGCCCTGTGTGTCACCCACACCCATCCTGGGCTCTAAGAAAACACAGGTTGCCGGCCACCAGCAGAACAAGGAGGAAGTGTTGCGGGGCGGGGGGGGAGGTCAATGGAAATCTATTCCCACTGCTGGAAATGAGCACAGAGCCCATGCCCACTGCTGACAGGCCACGCGCCAGCCTCGCAGCAAAAGTCACACTACCAGCACAGTGCCAAAACTCTATTTCCTCATTTTGTTTTAGAAAATGATAATGAAAGTATGTGTGTGGAGAGTGGGAGCATTTGGGGATGATATCACCTCAGTGTCAATTTCACATCTTAAAATCCATGATTGGAGTTGAGAAAGGTGAGATACAGTGAAGTTAAAGGTTGCATCCAGGGTTATACACTAGTTAGTAGATGATCCAAGACCGGAACCCAAGACTTTTCACTCCCTGTTCAGTGTTGTTTAACAGCATAATGCTTCAATAAGATAATTTGATAGTATATTTTAAAAGTGGCTTTAACTATTTGTTGGCAACCCCGGTGGTGTAGTGGTTAAGTGTTACGGCTTTTAACCAAAAGGTTGGCAGTTCGAATCCACCAGGCACTCCTTGGAAACTCTGTGGGGCAGTTCTACTCTGTCCTATAGGGTCGCTCTGAGTCAGAATCGACTCGACAGCAACTGGTTTGGTATTTGGTTTTTTTACTATTTGTAGTTTTTGAGGGCAAACATCCTAATCATTTTCTTTAAGTACCTGCTATGATATGGCTGTGTATTTTTTATTCAGTGATAGGTGTGAATTCAGAGTATAGAACAGCTTACTAGAGAAATAATGTCTTCTCACGTCATCTTTATAGTTTGTACTGGATTTTGATTAACACACTTACATGTTCTCTTAAAAACATTCCATTAAATGGAGCACATTCCATTTGATCAAAATATTTTTTCAAAGTTTCTGCTTCAATCTTGGTACTAAGAAAGCTAGAACCAAATTATAGCAGAAAATGCTGGAGAACCAAAGATATGGAAATGAGTTTTATGAGTCTTGCTCTTCAAATATTAATGTAGGCATTGAGGGGAATTCTCTAGGTTTTTCTACTCTGTCAAGCATTTTTGGCAAGCCTATAAATCATTCTATATAGCACAGTCTTCACACATTCGCAAAAACAAAAAGTCATAATCATTAGAGAGAGAGGTTATAAACATGGGAGGAAAATATCATGGTGGTTGATTTTTTAAAAGCCCGTAAAATGTTGAAAGCTGGTAGTGGGGGCAAGTCTTACAGTTTTGAAGAGCTGGTAGCTTTATGAAGTGATTCGCGGGATGCCAGGGACATTTCCCCACCTGGAATTTTACCCTAAGGGATTCAGTTGTTGTTTTTAGCTACCCTCTAGTTGGCCCCTATAGGGTGGCTATGAGTCAAAAGCAACTCGACGGCACAGGTTTAGTTTTTTCAGTTGGCCCCTGACTCATGGTGACCCCATGCACAATGAGATTGAACCTCTGTGAACCATAGGATTTTCATTGGCTGATTTTTTGGAAGTAGATCACCAGGCCTTTCTTCCTAGTCCATCTTAGTCTGGAGACTCCAGTGAAATCTGTTCAGTAACATATCAACGCATAAGCCTCCACTGACAGATGAGTGGTGGCTACACATGAGTTGCATTGGTTGGGATCGAACCCAGGTCTCTTGCATGGAAGGCAAGAGTTCTACCACTGAACCACCACTGCACCCCTAGGAGATTATTATGGGCCCTCTTCCTAAATGTGAGCACTGGGTCCCTGGGAGGGGTCTATGTTAGAGGAGGTCATCCAGTCATTTCTTAACAAGGCCCCAGGGGCAAGGGAAAGCCCTGGGCTCCTGAAAGCAGCAGAGAGAGAGAAATTGGGGAGCAGGAAAGGATGAGAAGAGGTCCCAAGGGGAGATGTGACTCCTTCATGATCTGGCCCCAGCCTGACCCGGTTAGAAGGCAGTTTTTCTTGTTCAAAGGATAGTTTGTTTATTTGGAAGAAGACAGTCCATTGCTGTTTTTTAATAGCTGAAACTTATTATTCCAACTCCTGGTCCCATTAGACCCTTGAAAATAAAATCGCCCCGTTTCTGAGCCTGTCCTTGTTTTGGCAAGCCTGGGTGGTCAGTTGTCTGACTAAAAGAGGGTGGTTGTTTGTGTCTCGGTGGGGTGTAGGGCAGCTGTGAGGAGACCACTTGTCCCTCAGTGAGGCCCTGCCTGGGAGCGAGGGCCTGGGCAGGGGTGCCACCAAGGCAGGGCAGGGTGTCATGGCCCATGAGGAGGCAGGCAGACAGGCCACTCCCCTCCTCTCCCGGTACTCTGCAGGTACCCAGAGTCCTGGAGCTGACCTGAAATGAGGGTGCTGATTTGCCCACATTATTTCAGACACCAGTGCTCTGGAGCTACTTGCTTTATCCAGTTGCCAAAAACCAGGCGGTTCTTCTCCTGGCCCAGAGCCTTGCAGAGCTGCTTAGCATACAGCTGAGGGAGGGCCAGGCCTGCCTCTGAGCTAGCTCAGGGGGCTGAAATAATCTCATCTGGGATGCCAGGTGGTTTGGAAGAAAATGGAAACGGCTAAAGGGATTGCAGGGTTTGCAGGGTCCCTGGAGATCATGAGGAAGCTTCCCTTTTACAGGTGCGGAAACAGGGCGGGTCTCGGGGTGGGTTAAGCGCCCGGCAGGAGGTAGTAGCCAGGCCTCGGGACCGCCCATCTCCGCCCCTGCCCAGTGCTTCTTGACCATTCATTTTCTTCCTGAGTGGTGAAGGGAGAAAAGGACTGGGGCCACGTGCCATGCTATCTGTGCAGAATCACTTTGTGTGGCATCATCTTTACATCTTTACAAAGACGTAGATGTCATAACAGCTCTTTCTTGTAGCCATCCCCCCTATTTTCTGGAAACAAGTAGGTTTCCTAAAAGTTCCTATTTCTTGAAAACCACTCTTCATTCCCATTTACCAGAAGATAATTTTAAAATAAATGCTTGCTCAAATGGATACAAGATCCACTGGTAGCTGCTGCACCGAGAGAAAGCAATCCTCTTGGGCTCCTTCTTGCCTCTCAGAGGAGGAACTTGGTTCCCTATGCAGAGGCATCAGCCTCCCTCCTTTCTCGGTTTTACAGTCAGAAGACGGGGCAAATCTGAACCCAGGCTCAGGCAGACACGGCCCAGCCCGTGACGCTTTCCAGCTGGAGCGCAGCCTCATTTCTTTCCAGAGCAGGGAACTACCTGGCACACAGGCGTAGTTAATGAGAGAATGAATGGCTCTAATGAAAAGCAACTGCTGTCATTTTTAAGTGAGGGGGAGCATCTTGTCCCTGCTGCAGCCTCTGCGTTTCCACTCACCGAGCTTGCCTGAGAATGGGCTTCTGCTGCCATTAACACTCTGTCAGCTCACATGTGTGCGTCAGGCTCGCCGGCTGTCTAAAATCTGACCTCAGAAAGTTGGGTGCCGAAACATCCTGCACAGATGGCACTTAGCACTGTCAAACTCCAGGAAAATGTCAGGTTGGGCTACTTCCCAACCGTTATTGAAACCTTACAACGCGATCCTCCATTTGAAGAGCAGGGGGAAAAAAAAGGAAGACATTTTCCCCGGAAGAAAACTGCCTCTGTGGTTGTTTTTGTTCGGTTTGGCTATAAAGTATGGAAAGTAATGCATGCTTAAAAGAAAAGATGTGTAATTTATAGCTTCTTAATTCATCAAGAATTCAGTGAATCATGTTTGCCCAGTTGGATTCTAGAGAAGCCTGAAAATTGGCCAGAATCAGCGATGGTTGTCAGAAAGCTATGCATTTTAATCTGCTCGAAAATTTTGGACTCTGAGAATCCTTCAGCTTTGAAAGTGTGCATCTGAAAGATTCATGTGTGGAAATTTCCACTGTGTCCCAGCCCAGCTGAGACTGCTCTGTGAATGAAACCTCCGGCTCTGCCTAAGTTCCGAAGGCATATATTTTCTTAAAGAAAGAGTAAGGGATTTCCATTGTCTGCTTTTTAAGTATTTCAGTAAATATCTGTTTTCCAAGTCTTTGAAAGTATGCCAGTTGCCATCAAGTTGATTCCGACTTCATGCCGAACCCAAGCGTGTCAGAGTAGAACTGGGCTCCATAGGATTTTCAGTGGCTGGCTTTTCAGAAGTAGATCACCAGGCCTTTCTTCTGAGGCATCTTTGAGTTCACTTGACCCTCCTATCTTTCTGCTGGCAGCCAAGTGCATTAAC